CCGGGGCACACAAGGAATAGCAGCAGCAGCTGTCGGATGGCCGGAGCCGCGATGCCGGCCGGTTTAATCCCTCTTGGAAGAGGTGCGGGGTGGGGAGGAGGAGGGTAAAAGAATCCAAGGAATGCGGTTGCAATTTCACAGTGGAAGCGTCGTTACGGAGGCGGCGGCAAGCGAGCTACGGCCACGTGGGAATTCAATGTTATTCCCAGGACCAGGAAAAGCCCAACCTTCAGGCGATCCTGGCTGAGCAGAAAAAGATTTAAAGCTCTAAAGTGAGTAAGAACCGCATCGCCGTGAGGTCAGCCAAAGCTGCGCGGCCGGTGTTAATTTAGGAATGAGGTATTGATGGCTTCAGAGAAGTTTTGCACCTGAAAATAGGGATTTTTTTCGCCTCATCTGCCCCGAGGCGAAGCCCTTCGAGCATCGCCCCAGTCCTCGGCACCTGTTTTATCCCGAAGGTTTTGAATCTGGCATGTAAACGCCTGCCCGCATTTACAGAAGCGTCTTTCCTTCCTGCTCCCTTTGCAGCCACAGGCAGCGCCGAGACCCTCGGAAGTCAGTAGGAAAAAGGCTCCCAAGCTGCAAAGCACCAGCACAACTGTATTTTCCCCCTCAACCTTCTTCTCAGCACCTTGTTCTCATCACAGGGATGTTCCCCAATATCTCCAGGCCGGTCCACACCATTCAACTTTTGCTCGTACAGCTCGAGCAGCAAATCCCCCCACGGGGATGCAGTTTACGGCTATTCCAGCTTAATAAAACCTCGCCTTAAAGCCTACAATGAAGGTCTGTTTGATAAATAGGTTCTCGTGTCTCGCTTCGCATGCCTGATATCCTTCAACGGCAATTTGCAACCCAACCCAGAAGCAACAGGCAAGTGCAGATAAACTGGGATCGACCCGAGGCAAGCGCACGGAAAACTCTTCCCATCAAAGTGAAACGCGCTGTAGAAAACAGGCAAATTAGGAATATTTGTTGTCCTTTCAGCCTGAGTCATCTGGAGAGTTCACAAAGCTGCGCGAGCTCAGTTTTTGACGCTTTCGCTGAGCACGATAAAGTGAGGTATCAGCCAGAGCAGTGCGGCGCAAGGTCACTGCACGCTACCGAACCCGAAGCTCACCTAAGGGATCCAGCAAGCCCCAGCGATCCCGGGACACTCGCGTGTTTACGAATCCTCCCAGTGCTGCGGCTATCTGCTCCTTTGCCCGCCGAGGTTCCCAGAACGGCAGGGGATGCCGGCAGGGTATGCGTGATGCCGACCCAGAGGCAAAAATCATTTCGAAGGCTTTTCTGGATTCCTCTGCAGAAGTAAAGGCTCCGTGGCCGAGCAGCGTGTGCCAGGTCTTAGTTCATTTTCTGACTAACTTTTTTACAGGGAGGTAAATACTTGTGAATAACGTAGTTTAAATGAACTCGCCAGGAATCCCAGCTGAAGTACTCGGAGGCGTTATGGGGATTGGGTTAACCCTTAGGATCCTGGCAGCACATGGGAAGAGCCTGCGGGAAGGTGACGGCAGCAGTGGGAGATGCTGGGCATTGTAGGACGGACGGCGCCTTCAGTACCTACAGCAACATCAGCCCCGGGTCTGTGGGTATCACCGGAGCATCAAGAAAATTGCTCCCCGAGACTTATAACCTGACAAACCTTTCTTTCCATGGCTCTTTTCTCTTCTTTTTAGGGAATTGGAAAGGTATATAGGCTGATTTATCTATAGGGGCTCAGCAACTGCTGCTCAGACTCTGCCCTCCCTGCCTTGCAAGGGCTGGTAGAGCTGGAAACCCCCACCGCTGGCAGACGTGCCCTTCAAGGAGGCTCAGCCAAGCCCCCTCCCGCCGAGCGGTGTGGTAGATGTGGCCGCAGAGGGACCTTAACTGGAAATCAAGTCCCATTTGGAGAGCAGCTCCGTCCTCTCAGGTGTTACCTTTGACAGCAGGAGCGATGGAGGTGCTGCAGCACTCACCAGGAAAGCAGAAAGGCAGCTGGTGGTGGAAGCAACACAGAGCTCCCAGCTCCTCTGCTGCTGCACCGTTAGTTTTTCCTATTTCAACGTTATCCCCCTCCATGCTCCTTTTTTTGGCCAGTTATAAGGTCTTCTCCGCACACGAGGTTGCAGCAACGCTTGGCATCCAGGGCAGAACAACAGCCGCCCCCCAGGGAAGTCCTGCGTTCACCCAAGCCACGGTCGGCACAGCCCGAGAGGGGAGCAAAGGAGCACCGGGGTCTTTACCAAGCCAGCACCCAGAAGGACGAGGAGGTGAGAGCACCATGAAAATCTCTGCTCGACTATTTGTCACCACAAAACCTGGCAGCAACAAGGGGAAGCTGCTCTTCAGCAGCTACCGGGCAGCACAGCATATTTCATCAGGTATTTCAGAGTGGCAAGAAAAGAACAACTTAACTCCGTTAATCCTCTACCACTATTTTAAAGCACAAAAAAACAGTGGCCCCATGGTCAATATAGCCGCTACGGCTTATCTCAGGTCGCTGCTGTCCCTCCGTCACTCCCCCAGCTCCGTACCGACCCCAACAGCAGCCTCGGCGTTCGCTGCTCCTGCTCCACAGGACAGGATTATCCCCGCGGTCTGTCCAAGAGACGTTAACGCCGAGTCTCCCTCGCTGACCCCCACGCTTACCTTCATGGGGTTTTCGTCGTACGTTGGGGTCCCGAGGTCCATTTCAGCTTCGTGTTCAAGGCTGGCATCATCCCCTGGGCTGTCCCAGGTAGGAGGGTCCCACTGGGTTTGCCTGGGGGAAGACAGACAGACAGACAGACCACCGTCACTCTTAAAAGTAACTCGTACCTCCTTATTGATTGTCCCATCAACTGGGACATCTGGTCTCCATCAGTCATCGAAACTCTTAACGTGGGTGTAATGCATGGCCCTACCTTGCTGTTAATGATGAGTTTTGAGTAGGCTTCTAAGTCGGAGAAGGCTAAAGTCAAGCAAGAAGAACTTAAAAAAAGGGAATTTGCACGATTTTCTATCACTGGTGACGCTCAACCTGGGATCAGGGGAAGTTCGTCACAGGCATGAAATAAAGAAGGTCGGTGATTCTGGCGTGGAAAGATGGGAAACATCCCGGCGGAGACCTTGGAGGCGGTACTCCTCCCTGCAGAGCAAGGGTCAGCCCTTGGCACCCCAAGCCAAGTGTTCAGCCAGAGGTATCTCATCGTGGAAAGGACGACACAGACCAAAGATCTTGAGAAAGGCCACAGGAACGAGCAGGAGCTCGAAAGGGTGGACGGGCGGATGACACAAAGCTCATCCATACGCTAGAAGAGGCTAAACGCAGGGCTAGAGCTCTCCGTGGCTCACCGCACATGGGAAGCACCATTTCGGCAGGAACATCTCGGCTGAGATGGAAGAAGCTATCAAGAGTCTGCTTGGGCTCGTCAGGCCAACGAGCCGGGGAAGAGCCCCACCACGCTCAAACCAGGGAAGGATGGGGAGAACTGGTCTGGGTTTCCTCAAGGTGGGGAAGAGGGGACAGCCGTCGGCATCCGAGAGCAGATACAGGACGGTGCCGGGGAGGAAAACCACAGACCAGGGGAGGAACCCAACCAGGAGAAATGGGGGCCAGCAGGACAGACCGCTGTCTTGGCAGGACTAGGGCGAGTACGGGACTCTCCATCGGGTGAGAGGACCCACTCACAAACAGACTGAACAAGAGGGGTGCAAAGGACGGATCTCCAGCAGCCCACGTTAGGTCCGGAGGTGACCTAAGACGGCAACTACTTTCCATCTCTAAACTCTGAGCGAAGCCAGGACATGCACTCTTCAGTACAATAAAAAAACCAAACCTGAAAGCCTGCATCAAAAGGAGTTGCCGGTTTGAGTTTCTCGGGGTTTCTGACCCATATCAGAAACCCTGTCCCGCTTCAAGGCTTTTTACTTTTCAGGAAACGCTGGGGGAAACGTGAAAGTCTCGTTTCAACCAGCCCCCACGTGCTCCATCATGCTACTTCATTCTCCAGATACTGCTGAATATCCCTGACCGCAGACCGCTACCGAGCTGATTGCTACATAAAATGAAATATTAAAAGAAGAAAGCGTGTCGAGAAGTAAGATTTCCTTTCCTCTACTGGCCTCGTCCCGTCGGAAGATACACAGTTAAAAGAAGGATTGAAAGAAACGTTTCAGCATGTGTTCCTCGAAAAAGTACAAGATTAATTATACTCAATTAGTGGCTTCTCGTGTAGCTGCAGAAGATGCACGGAGGCGGCATTCCTCGCCAAGGGGGAAGGCTCACTTGGGTCTCCCCGTCTCATTGCAAGACTCCCAAACCACGGCACAAATCACAAATTCCTGCTCGACTGTTTTCTTCTCCTTCCCGGGGTTTGAAGGTCTCCTGCTCTGCTGTTGGTGCAGCTCTCGATGTGTAAGGTAGCAGGAAGGAGCCCAAATGAGCGATTGAAAAGATTGATTGATGCAGAGAAATGTGTGCAAGTAACAGTAACTGACATCAAGACAGTCAGGACACGTAAGAAAATACTCAGGCTTAACCCTTTAGGGAGGTGGATCCCCATACAGACCTCACACGGAGTTTGAAATAAAAAAAAAAATCCTTTTCAGAAGTCTGAAATTCATGATATTCATTTAAGATAAGGCCGTAGGTATTGATCCAGTATCTGTGATGCCTGGTGGCACCTGGTGCCTTCCAAAACTGATCGCAAAGGTGTGGGGAAAACACTGGGAAACTCTATTTCTGGCTCCAGAACAGACCGGAGGCTTGAAGATGGAAAAAATGAGGGTGAGAAAACAAACCCTTTGACGCCGCACGCCACGGATCACGGCTGATCCCTGAGCCACCAAAGACCTCCCGTTCATACGGCATGCCCACGCAATGCTCGCACGCGCGTTAAAGCCTCCACGGACCGGGGTTATTCGCCTGGCACCGCTGCCAGAGCCGCACGGGCGTTTCAGAGCACGAGGGGCCGACAAGGTCTCTCTCTACCTGTTAATTCTGCTGCCGTTTCAGCGCCGTGTGGGGCACGGCGTGTGCCAGCAGAGTGATGGGAACCAAAGATGATGTCAAAAGAACTAGATCCAACTTGACCGAGATGCTGGGGAGAAAGATGTTGCTTTGATGGGTTTTTTTTTTTTTTACAATGAGATGTCAGAAGTGGAGCTCCTCACCATCACGTTATCACACCAGGTTACAACTCAACGCACGGCTGGAGTCATCGTTCACAAGGAAATCGTTTGCCATCCTCACACTTCTGCTCGCAGAAAACGGGGCTCTATTCCCGGGCCACATTTATGGGGGTGAAGGAAAGGTTTTGAGCAATCTCAGCCTCCCACCCCCCCCCAGCTAACGAGCAGCACCCCGCCGGGTGCCTAATGAGACACCGAGGGCTGAACATCCATTTCTCTTACACCCAATTCCTTCACTTGAACCGTCAAACTCCAACGCCATCACGCTCACCTCGTTATCACACTCACCTTGTTACCACGTGGTAGTAGTAGATCTTCCCCTCTGGATCTCGGGCCGTTTTCCAGTTGGGTGGGAGGACGATCGTCTTGGGTTTTGGAGGGGATGGTGGAGGCAAGTCCAGGAGGTTATTGGTCACCACAAGCTCTGGCTGAAAACAGCACAAAAGGGGTGAAAAGAAAGACGTGAGTGGCCGTGAGAGTGGTCAGAGCAGCCCTGACAGCTCTTTCCCCCACGACAAAGACTTTGTCGAAGGTAAAACTTAAAAACGACGTTAGTGTTGGCCCAAGAAGTGATGAGGACAATGTCTATCCCTAGTTCTTCATCAAATACCCCAAGCACCCACTCGACCACACCCTGAGCTTATAACGCAGTCACTTTGCCGCCCGCGCTCTTAAATCCTCCACGCTGGATGCCAAAACCACCATTTCCGACGGAGGGGCTTCAGCGGCGAAAGCAGGTCGTGGAGCTCCCACGTGCCCACCCATACACAGCCTTCTCGGATGTGCTGGTAGAAAGCCTGAACACAACAGGATCTGGGCTCAAAACCCCCAAAAATGTGTCTGATGCCCACATCCAGCCTGGAGAGCAGCACCCCGAAGGGTGCCAGCAAGCTGCCGCACGGGAAACTCCTCCGGCTGGTACCACCACCGCTTTCACAGCATCCAGGAGCCACGGGGAATCACGCAAACCCAAAGCAGATGTAGACAAACGCTCCCCATCCCTTCTGACCCACCAAGCCTTACCTGCTGGATGGGTTGAGGCTGCCCGGCTGCGACGATCGTAGTCACTGCTGTCGGTGGCTGCACTATGACTCCCTGCGGATGAGCTGTGTAAATCTGCTGGCCCTGGATGTACTGGAGACCTGGCTGGGCGTAACTCTGAAACGGAGCATGGGGAATCACGAGTCAGCTTGCTTTACCAAAAAAACCCTTTACTGGAGGACACAGTCCAGCTTCCCTTACCGGGGATCAAATAGCGGAGGCAAGAAGAGGGTAATAGTCCTCGAGGACTAGTGGAAGATCACACCCAAACCAAACAGCAACAACTGGCGACTGAGGCGGGGTTCAAGCAAACGATTTTCATATATGATTGGCCTATTTGCTATCCCAGGAGTTGGACAATTGCCTGCGTCTTGCTTTTAGGAAGAACTAGGCATTGGCAAGATGCTGAACGCCAATAGCCTTGTTAACAAAGACAAAGTAGAAGGAGAGAGCACTTCAGCATGGTCATTCGGAGCTCAAGGCTGAGCCTGATGGAAAGGGACGTGTAATTCGGAGAAAACAGATAAAGAAGGTTGATCTGTTGGGTTTCTTGTTTGGTTTAAGTCATACAAAAGCTGGTAGCTCCAGACCCTGCTTCCAAAAGCCAACGGAAGGCGAGCTCACACCTCCACATTTTACTGCTTACTTGGTCAGGGACAGTGGAAGCTCTTATCCAGAAATACCTCTTCACCAGAATCAACAACGAAAAAACCAACATAACTTTTATAAACGGGTTAAAAAGAATCTCTGCAAGCTGCAAACTCCTGCTTGGCCCCAACAACTATGATATATGGCATTGTACAAGGAAAATACCCTGCCCGAATGTGCTTTTCTCAGACTCTTGGATGGGAGGTTATCTGAGAAGCAGCTTAATATTAGAGCAAAGTAGGATGCTCTACTATTAGGAGCACTAACAAAGAGTGAGCAAATAAAGCGCTTTTGCCAGCTGCAGGCTGGTACCCTTCATTTTGCGGGTGTTTCATGCCATGCCTTGTCTGAAATGGAAATTACCTGTACAATCGGTGGGGTCGTCTGCGAGTAGGGGGATGTCACACCGTAAACGGTCTGACAGGTCTGTCCTTGGTAATATATGGCTGGCTGGGACTGGGCTGGCGAGTACTGCTGTTGTACAGCTACAGTCTGCTGGCTGGAATCCCAGACCCCGTAGCTCTGGCTCTGCACCGGTCCCGGCGCGGCCACGGGCAGGACGGCCACATTGGGTTCTTGATGGACCACAGTGTCGCTTTGTGCTACATACTGCGGAGTTGTAACCTCCATCGTCGTTGCTACATGTTGGACTACTGGTACCGGCTGAGGAGTAGTTAGGGTTGGTTCCACCGTGTGCCCAACCAAAGTCTGCGGGTGCTCGTACGCCGCCGGCGAGCACATCGAATCCATGGTGGGCGTGGGCAGCAGCACCTTGCCAGCGTTGGGGTTGCTGGGGTCTACGTAGGCTTGCATGGGGTAGCCGGGCGGGTAGCCGATAAAGCTGTGGTGGGGTGTGCCATAGCCCATGGAGTCGTAGGGCAGGGGGGACGTCATCCCCAGGTTTTGCAGTTGCTGTTGCTGTTTCTGGGCCTCCCGCTGGGCAACCTCCTGCTCGAACAGCTTCCTGCGCTCCTCCGTGGACAGCTTGTTGCGATCCTTAAGACGGACTTTCTTCTTCGAAGACGCTGGCGTGTCATACCTGGGAGAGAAAGAAAAGAAAAGCCTTTGTGAGACCTCAGAAACCTGCAGGTCCAGGGCTCCAGCAGCAAAAGGGCCACCGCCGACAGCGGCAGGCCCAGGGGGACCCAAACGCCCAACAGCAGCATCAATTCCTAAAAACATTCATTTGTTTTCAGCTGCTTGACCAACCGCGGCAACTCATAGAGAGGAGAAACACCCGCTGGTCCTGCTCATCCACGAGCAACGAGCCAGGGCAGGGGATGAGCTAAGTCCCACTGGATTTACCGACTTCGGTTCGGTGCTGAAGCTAACGGAGATGCAAAGATGCGGCAGAAATAGTCTGGAGGACCTGCTAGGCAGCACCGAGATACCCGGAGAGGGGAGGCAACACTTCCAGGGCCAACAGGGAACCCGAGGAGAGGGCAGAATAAGCAGGGTGCCCCCCGAACAGGCTGGGTACCCGTGCTGGAGACCCTCTGCCACCGTTTCCCAAAGCAGGACCAACGAAGAAGGGGTTTGGAAAAGGCTCTCCAAACAGAAGGCGCAGCTGACACCACAGCATCTTCACCCCCAAAGACCAGGGCAGCTCAGCGGTGGGGAAAGCACCCCATCTTTCTTGTCTAAGGACCACCACCCCCCCCCCCCACCCTGTTTTCTCCCCCCCCCCCCCCCCCCCACGTTGGAGCTGCAGACACAGGCGCGTTCGCAGACATGGCAAAGAACAAGGGAATTACAAACAGCACGTTTCTGTTTAGAGTTATGCTATTTACTAGACCACAGATTCAGCTTAAAAAATAATAAAGTGTGGATGGGTTTTTTTAATTCTTTTTTACGAATAAGAATTTTCATCCCGAGAAGCACAGCAGCTGGAGGGATTTTTCCAAGGAGTTAAAGAAGGAAAAAAAAAAAGCCTAAGGACTTTGATCAGACCTCAACCATGGAAAATTTCAGATCAAAGGTGGATATTTTGAGAAGTTATGAGTGTGGTAAAACAGGGATTACAAGCAAAAATGCTTTGCAGCCCTAATATAATGGATTCTACAAAGCATCCAGTATATTCTCTATATACTCACTTTATGTTCATGCATTCCATTTACATATCAAAAGCACATTGCTACCAACAGATACACTTAAGATGTTTCCTCGCATTCCCAGAGTAGCTGCAAGGATCTGTTAATGCGAACCTTATTGACGTGAAGAGTTCAGTTTCAATAATTAAAGTCTTTCCTGGCACTGCCTGCAGAGTTTACACGAGAGGCAGACGGCGTGAAGGGCCGGGCAGAAGAAAACTGAGGGTTTAGGGCAGAGCAAGCCAACGATGCTCTTGTGTGTACTCTGCTCCTCTCTCCACCTATTTTATTGTCTTATTAAATCCTTCACATAACAAATACAAAGGGGGACAGTCAGAGCGGGGAGAGCATCCCCAGAGAAGGATGCCGGCACCCCGGTCCTCCTCCCGGTCCTTGCGCCGCTCACCAACAAGGATGCCGGCCGCAGGAGGGAAGAGCCAGAGCAGGCGACTCCTTGCCCGCAAAAGAGTTTGTTCTATTTAAAACAACACAAAAAATACGCTGTTTATTCCATCCTTCTTCATATCTCTTGACACGCCGCCGTTACTCAGCTCCACTTCCACCCCCAGACCTCAGTGATGTTTCCATCCTCCAAATGGCTAATTACAGTATTATATAGATTTACATCTTATTTTTTATCCAGATGTTTTAAACTTTCCCAGAAGAGCTCACTACGAGGACAAACGTTTCCTCGTCTGGCTGACTCACCACCAATTGTTCTCTAATTACTAAGTGGCTTTAGATCCTATTTAAGAGGGACAACAGAAAACCGCCTTCTTTAAAGGAAATTCCTTGGTATTCTTACTGCCTTTAACATGATCTGAAGTCTCCCTGAAATGCAAGACGTGTAATATTTTCCTTCTCTTAATTAAGAAGCAACTTTCGAGGGAGGAAAACGAGCAACTGGTACCAAGCAGCCGCTGATTCATGCGCTGCCTTCGACCAGCCCTGCCATCACCATCACCTCTGTCGCTCCTCCGGCCCCCGGGAGGGTTTGGCTGCGCCCGGCCGCACGCTCGCGGGACGCTTGGGAATGACCCTCGGAGCCGGTGCAGGCTCACGCTCCCTAAAAGCGATGGCTTGAGCCTATAGAAAAAGGAAAGGGCAGCTTCGGGTGGCTGCCACGGTCGTTGCACTGATCCGACTCTCACTTAAAATCTGGGAGAACGGCTAATAATTAAAAATATTTCCTCTTTCTGCTTGTTCCTTGAACTGGCCAACTCATCAAGAAAAAAGACGTCTCCATTTCAGTTATCTAGCCCTTATCTTTACCCTCCTAAACATCCATCCCACCAGACCTGGTCAGCAGAAGTATTTCATGCGGAGGAGCACAACCCGTGCTACTGCAACACAAACGGGTTGCTTTTATTTTCTACTTTACCTTCAGCATCTGTGCACACTGTAATTTAAAGTATTGTGTACTTTCAGTGGAGCTGATAGACTTGGTGCCTTGTTTCCCTAGACAACCTGTGTTTAAAAATCCTTTTTTTAACGCAATGTAAGTAAATTTGAAGTCCCCACACTCCCCTGTATCCATCACTTGCAAAACGTACGCAGGGTAGGTGGGAATCCATCGGGCAACGGAGCGCCCACAAAAAAGAAACACAAAGTAAAACCACTGCGAGGTCTTTAAAACTTAAGAAACGCCTTCTCAGCCAAGGCAGCGTGATGCTGCCATTCCCAGGGGAAGGCAGGAGACACGGCACCAGCTCGGTGGGGTCATACCTACCTGGATCGCTTTCCTTGCGCTCAACGCTTTGGAGGGGGATATTCACTTGGTCAAGGAAGTTGTTTTGTGTTAGAAATCCCGTTTGGATGGGTACTGCTAGCTCTTGTACAGGCACGGGCTTGCTCTAAATTTAAGTTTAGAATAATCCCCAAGCGCACTGGGGATAGGTGGAGTAGAAGGAGGGAATGGGTTTTGAAAGACCCAGAAGACCTCTTTGCATTAGGAGGGCTACACCCCCAATTTCCGCGCGAGAGCTGGATATAGCTTCCCTCGTCACCCACCTAATTCCCAAAACACGCCTGAAGACGAAGGTGTAGGTTATCTGAAGACGAAGGTGTAGGTTATCCGAGGGGAGAGGCCACCTAACACCAAGGAGCCACCCAACTCTGGCCTGGGAATGCATCTCACCACACTCCTCCAGGAGAAAATTTCCTTCCCCATCCCTGGGTGTTTTCAAAGACCACCAGGACCGTTTTTCCCAGCATTTTTACCCAGGACGCTCCCAGCCCAGCGGTCAGATCCTCAGCCCTGCCACCATTGCTGCCAGCCAACTTGCCTGTCCTCCGGTCTCTTCGTTCCTCGCTCGTACGCCGAGGACGGAGGAGACAACGAGTCTCTCCGTCTCTTCTTCTCTTTACTCTGGCTCTGCCTCTCGGGATCCCGCTCTCTGCTCAGGATGGGGTTCTTCGGGGTAGGAGTCTGATCCCTGTGGCCGGCTGTCTCTCTCCCACGGTCGGCTGTTGGGGAAAACGGATAAAAGGGAGAGAATTGCTATAATTCAGTGTATTTCTAAGCTCTCCCCTCCTGCGGTTTCAGTAGCTTCTGTTAGTCAACAGAGTCTTCATTCAAACAAGTTACAGGTTGCCCTGTGTCAGCCTCAGGGCTACATTTCCCATCACCCACCGCTTAGATTCTCTTCCCCGTTCGCAGGAGCTGTTTTCAAGGAGTAGGAACGCCAAGCTATGAAGGCAGAACATCTCTTGACATCCCAGACCGGGAAAATTAAGCGGTTTTGTAGGAGCATGGCGATACATGGAAAAATGTGAGTACATACCACTGCTCTCCTTTTCTGCTTGACTCTTCTTTGGGATCCGGTACACCTCCTGCAAAGGAAGCCACAAGCAGGGTCAGAGTTTCAGCTACTCGGAAGAACAACCCCAACATCTACGGGGCTGCAAGGATCCTAACACGGCGCTAATAATTTAACAATTCAATCACAATTTTAAAACGAACAAACAAAAAGGGTCTTTTGAAGCAAAGTTCTGGTTTTAGGCAAATTACTGTGGTGCTTTCTATGCATTGCCTCTGATCGGCATTTCATGTTTGATGAGTTTAGGTGGCTTTTTGGGCCAGGTGCTACAGGCAGTGCGGCAGGGTCTGAGCTGGCCATCCCACCCACGTGCTACGAGCACCTGAACTTGCAGCTCTGCTGGAATAGCGAAAAAAAAACCCGATTTTTGCACTTAAACAAGCTACCCTCCAGGTGTAAAATTGTGCTTTTCTGCCTCTTGTTTTGTCAGCCCTGGTGTTCCCACAGTGACCACAGCCAGCACAGATCCCAGCTGAGTCTCGGTTTGTCGGGGTGTCTAAGGCCACCGATCCCTGCCCTGGCAAACAGAGCTGAACATGGGCACCTGACCTGTCCTCTAACGACACCGCGGTGACGTGCCTGTCTACCACCAGCACCTGAAGACCTCCCATCGTACCCGTCCTGGTCTTTAAGGCAGTTTTAGGTAGTCCTGCGAGCAGCAGGGAGTTGGACTTGATGATCCTCATGGGTCCCTTCCAGCTTGAGATATTCTACGATTCTATAACAGCTGCAGTTTCACCATGTTGCAGAAATAGAGACCGCGCTGGTGGCCATCATCTGCTCACCGACCTCATGGGCTCCCATGGACCATCCCTGGGCTTCTCTCAGTACCCACCAGCCTCATCAGGGACGGGGTCCACCACGTTTCCCGTGGTGTTCCCCAGATCCGATTCTTGATGACAAAGCACCCCGAGGGAAATGAGCAGGAGGCCATCTCCCAGGTCTGAGTAAAACCCTTCGACCAAGCACCTACTGACGGCTGCTGAGATCAGCTACCACCACCCACCACCCCTTCTCCTACGGCAGCCAACTCCGCACCCTGCTTCTTAGCCAGCTCTGGGGTCCTCAGCACAGGAAAGACACGGACCTGTTGGAGCAGGCCCAGAGGGGGGACACAAAAATGATCAGGGGGATGGAACACCTCTGCTATGGAGAAAGGCTGAGAGAGTTGGGGTTGTTCAGCCTGGAGAAGAGAAGGCTCCGGGGAGACCTTACTGCAGCCTATTAGTACTTACAGGGGGCTTCTAAAAAAGATGGCGGCAAATGTTTTAATAAGGCCTGTTGCGACAGGACAAGGGGGAATGGCTTTAAAGTAAAAGAGAAGAGATTCAGACTAGATATAAGGAAGAAATGTTTTACGCTGAGGGTGGTGAAGCACTGGCAGAGGTTGCCCAGAGAGGTGGTGGATGCCCCATCCCTGGATGCGTTCAAGGTCAGGCTGGACGGGGCTCTGAGCAACCTGATCTAGTGGAAGGTGTCCCTGCCCACGGCAGGGGGGTTGGACTAGATGGCCTTTAGAGGTCCCTTCCAACCCAAACTATTCTATGATTCTGTGATTCTTTTTTATATCCAGCTGTATCACCCGGCAGAGTATCAGGCACAGGGACAGCCCCTGGAAGAAGCATCATGTCCCAGATAACCCGCAACTACCAAAGAAACTCACTTTTCCCATGCATTAAGCAGCCCCCCTGCACCCAGGGGCTTTTTATATCCACGTTTCGGCTAAGAAAACCATATTTCTATTATATATATATATATAAGAAAAATATATTCTTAGCCCCATGTTTCAGGCTAAGAAAATATATTTTCCCCTGGTGAAATAAAGGAGAGTATCCTGTTGTGGTCTGTTCACAAGATGCAACCACTTCAAAAGTGCTGCTGAAGGTTAAGGAAAAGTGATTTTGGAAAGTGATTTTGGCCAAGATTTTAATATTTTTTTTTTATATATTTTTGCTTTTCCGTGGAGCCTGAACACAACGCAGCAAACTTGTGCAGTTTGAAGCATCTGCAAATAAGCTACCACGTGTGCTGTGACCTCTTCCAGCGACGAGATGCATTAGGAGTCTGCAAATATGCCCTTTTCTAATTGTTCTTATTTATTTACACGTTTGCTACGGATCAAAAGAGGCAGGAGGAGGAAAACCAGATCAGGAGAGTCCAGAGCAGAGAGGCGGGACGCAGAAGCATCGCTAGTGCTCCCCTTTCCCAAACCCTTTCCTTCTGGAGCCCAGGCACGCTGCCCATGCCCATCCAGCTCAACCCAAGCCATGCCAACCTGGAGAACCCCCCGCTGACCATGGGGCAGCAGATTCACGGGGACCAGGGCAGGGAGGAGGACCTGCAGCGGGGTTGAGACCGCAGCCACCGCCTTAACGCCAGGTGGGCACCGAGGGCTCGAAGCAAAGCAGGTTACGATGCACACCCAACGCACCCCTGCATCTCCAAGACCCCCAAGCCCAGCCCTTGCTGTGCCACCAAGCTCCTGCCTGATTTTGGTCCCCTTCGTAGAACCACAGAATCATAGAATCATTAAGGTTGGAAAAGACCTCTAAGATCATCGAGTCCAACCGTCGACCCAACACCACCATGCCCACTAAACCA